AKWWWAAAAAAAAAAAAAACAAGGCAAGTTAATTTTCAATGGAATGAGTTGGCAACTTGAATTGTCAAGAATTGTTGGAGTCCTGCAGTCCTGAGAAAGTCAGTTTACTCTCGGAACCTCAATTTCCTCAGCTATAGAATGGAGATAGGGCTGGGGGCATAGCTTAGTGGTAGAGCTATATGCTCAGCATATGCAAGGCCCTGGGTTCGATCCCCAAAGCACACGTGCTTRCTCACACACATGCACACACACATGGGATAAGGCCTGCTCTGCCTACCAAGTGTGAGCCCAAAGTGAGAAATTAGGGGATCCTGTGCAGGAAGAAGAAAGGGCAAAATCTGCTTCCCAGAGAGGTTTTCCATTTTTGATTCCCAGGACATCCACCTCAGGAACAATCTGGCATTTGCTGGAACATATGACCAACCTTTGCTGCAAAGGAGGCTGGGAAATGGAGCATTCTAGCTGCACACAGGGGTCCCTTGAAAAAACCAGGGTCTGGCAGTAAGAAAGAGGGATCGTGGAAGACCCTGGGGTCTGGTCTGCCACAACCAGGAAATGATCTCCCCACACTAACCGCACTTCCTTTGTGGGCGGCTTGGTCAGGGAGGAGCSGAGAGCTGAAAGGGGAAGCGTCTGGGTCACGTGGCAGACAGACTTTGGAGCAGCCACAGCCAAGGAGTAGGAAACCTGGCTCTGTCAGTCCTGAGGGAGGTCTGTCACCTGCCCAGTTGACATTCCCACATTGGAATCAGTGATATCAATGGAGACACAGACACCTATCAAAATATCAGGGGAGGATAGTGGGCCAAAAGGCAGGACCAAAGTCCCCAGAARTGGTGATGAGCCAGAACAAGGTGCAGGATCCAACAAGGCAGGTTTCCAAAATAAGTTATTAAAAAAAGTCTTAAAATTKTTWTYAGCCATGAAGCTAAAACTACTCTTAGAAATAGTTCTGTTAATTTGAAAAGGTTATAAAAAAAATAAACAAGCTATTGGAGTCTTAGATTTTAAGAATGTAAAAGCACATCTATGTGACCTCATCCCAGAAAGTACATAACTTCACAGATGACAGGGAAAAGTAGGTAGAAAATAATTAGACGGAGTCCTGAATCCTATTCTTTTTTTTTTTTTTTTTACGTTTTTCTTGATAATGATCACTTTTTTTTATTGGTTGTTCAAAACATTACAAAGCTCTTGACATATCATATTTCATACATTAGATTCAAGTGGGTTATGAACTCCCATTTTTACCCCAAATACAGATTGCAGAATCGCATCGGTTACACATCCACATTTTTACATAATGCCATATTAGTGACTGTTGTATTCTGCTACCTTTCCTATCCTCTACTATCCCCCCTCCCCTCCCCTCCCATCTTCTCTCTCTACCCCATCTACTGTAATTCATTTCTCTCCTTGTTTTTTTTTTTTCCCATTCCCCTCTGAATCCTATTCTTTGACCTGAAAATATCTATGCTCATAGAGAGACTATGAAATTCTACTGTACCCAGGACATGGGGGAAAGATTTGAGAAATTAAATTGACATTCAAATTCACAATAAATTACTAATACAGCAAAGCTCTGGCAAATAACACAAAATGTAGTCCTATTATATGATTCAGGGTTTCCAGAGAAGCAGAACCTAGAGGATTTTGTATATATATATATATATATATGCTGGGCATGGTGGCATATGACTGTAATCCCAGAGGCTTGGGAGGGAGGCAGGAGGATTACTGGTTTGAGGCCACAAGACCCATTTGTGAGGCTGAGGATGTTAATTTTACTGGGGACTGAACCCAGGGCCTTGCGATGCTAGGTAAGCACTCACTCCTGAGTTACATCCCTAGCCCTTTTCATTTTTTGAGACAGGGTCCCACGAAGTTACCAAGGATGGCCTCAAAAAAAAAAAAAAAGGAGGGGGGAGTGAGAGCTGAGATGTAACTTAGGGTGAAGCACCCTGGGTTCTATTCCCAGGAGGGTGGGGGAGAAGAAGAAGAAGAAGCAAACACAAAAACAAAGACTCAGAGAGGTAGGAAATGTGCCTGAGGTGGCCCAGCTACTGAGTCCCAGTTGCCCAACTCACTCCCCAGCCCCTTCCCTGGCCTACCCACCATGGTCAGGACCCCACAGGTGACCTTTGGTGCACCTGGCACACCTGGCTGAATCAGGAGGGAGGGAGCTCCTGGAGGTGGAAGGTGAGACCTGAAGAAGAGCTCATTCCTGTCATGTCCCCGGCCACCCCCCTGAAGGAGAGTGTGCAGCCACCTCCTGGGACCCCTCCAGGGCAAAACCAGAAACTAGGGAACGAGGGTGGAGGCGAAAATTGCAAAGAGGAGACTTGCTGTGAACAGCAGTGTGGATGGGGACTTCGGGTGAGGCCGACCACAGAGCTGGGCTCCCTGTCACCTGAGGTCGTCAGGCAAAGGCCAAGGGCTGCCTGGTGGCAAGGTTCCAGGAGCGATTCTGCAGCACCTAGTGAAAGGGCCCACGGAGGGGCCTGAATGAAGTCACTCAAGACTTTCCAGAAGTCATTGGCCCTCTGACCTCTGGTGACAAGGTACAGCCAATGGGACAGTGGTGACAAGGGGCCCTGAGGACTCTGGCTCTGCCTGGAATGGCCGGAATGCCTGGAATGCTCCCACAGTGCTCAGTGGAGCTAACAGCCTTCAGGGTCCAGCTCCAGCCCTCTCCTGCCTCCTGGGCCTGCAGGGTCCCCGCTGCGCTGCGCAGAGCCGGCTCTGGGTGYGTGGCTTGCGTCTGTCCTCACCAGTACCAGCACCTGCAGCAGCTTGACACCCTGGTCTCCCTGGTGCTCAAGTCAGTCCTGGAGGTGCCCYACTCGCACCTGGGGCCCAGTGCAGCAGGACAGGGTGAAAGCTAGTGAGCCCTGAGTGGCAAGCTGGGGTTCCACCCTGGATGGTCCCCTGTCTTTCCATTCCACCCAACTCTCCTTTGTCATCAGGGAGCCCGGGCCCTGGAGGTAAGGGAGAATGCCTGCTCCCCAGCGCCCCTTCTCCTCACTCCCTAGCCTCACCCTGGGATGCCCCAGGTTGGCAAGGACTTCCAGCTCCTGCCCACTCAGTCCCCTGTACCCCACTTGCTGTTCTATTTCCTCCATACCAGGGAGAAGATGTGAGCATCCTGTCCCATTTACTGCCCCAGAGCCATCTGGCTGTGGGCCCTTAAGGGATGACCTCTCAGCCTGGTGGAGCACCTKCGGACTCTCTCCTTCACCTCTGTGTCCAGCTGTCGTGAAGTCTCTTCTAAGCAGGACCTGCAGTTCATTCATCCCATTTTACAAATGTGAGAAACTGAGGTCGAGAGAGATCTTAGCAAGCTCTCTGCAAGGCTGGCTAGGATGCCCTTTACTGAGTGGGAGCTGAGAGCTCAGGGCGGGACACCCCCCACCTAGGAGGCCATCTACAGGGGTGCATGGGACAGCCAGGTCCTGCAGGGCTCCCTTGCCACCAGGCCCCTCCATGCACCCTGACAGCCCATCGAGAAGGACTTAGGAATCAGGCACGTTGGTGAAGCCCTGCTAGGTACAAGGTGCTAGGGTGGGGTGACCACAGCAAGTGTGGCCCTGTGTCTGCTCTTAGTGCCGCAGCTTTTGGCCAGTCTGTGACCTGTGCACACCGGAAAAATTAAACAACCACCTAAGGGGGACCCCGAGACCCTCCTATACTCTAGTGATTGTGACCACAGCTAGAAAGGACAAAGGATTCTCTGGGCTTCCTGGAGGAAGACTGGGGACAGCTGACTTTGAGGAAGGTCAGGGTCCACTAGCCTGTTTATTGAGCACTTAAGTGCACCAGCTGTGCCGGGATCTGGGCTAGACAGATGAATATGAATTTGCTGAACTCTTGCCTGGAGTGGGGCCCACAGGTATGAAGGTATGTTTACAGCCTGTGTCAAAGAAAGACTCGAGACAGAAAGATAAGCCAGGTGTGGTGGCACACACCTGTAATCCCAGTGACTCAGGAGGYTGAGGCTGGAGGATCTCAAGTTCAAGGCCAGCCTCAGCAATTTAGAGAGACTGTCTCAAAATAAAGAATGAATAGGGCTGGGGATGGAGCTCAGCCGTAGAGTACCCCTGGTTCAGTCCCCAGTATCAAAACAAAACAAACAAACAACAAACAAACAAACAAAAACCCAGAAAAGATGGTTTACGGTGTGAAGGGTGCTAGGAGGTGCAGAGGACCCTCTCTCAAGTCCAGACCCAGCMAGGGTTGAGAGGAAACCCTCAGGGTAACCAATCTGGTGTCGCAACTGCAACTATTCCACAYTCTGCGTTCATGGAGGTCTTGCCGGGGCTGCAGGAATAGACTTGTTTTGGGGAGAGAGTCCAGGATTATGGGAAAAACACAGACTGTATTATTTGGAAGACCAGAACCAGTCTGAGTGGGAGACCCTTTCTGGTTTGCCAGGCGTAAGTGTTTGGCCATGACCGTGGGTCACGCTGGGCTCAGAGACGCTGCGAGCCAGCACAGAGGCCATTTGGCTGTCACCAGTGTGTCAGACGGCCAGGGCAGGCCAGGGAGGCTCCCCGGAAGAGGAGGCACTTGAGCTGAGGCTTGAAGAAGGGAGAGAGGGTGCGGGTTCCGGGTCCATGAAGGTGCGCCAGGTGTTCGKCCGTCTTCATCTCCAGCACGACTCTTCCGCTGGTGGGTGGGCCTATCTTCAGAAGATGAAGGAGGGGGGGTCCTCCAAGCTGTCAGGGTGCAGGTGAGCGTAGCTAGGAGGGCTGAGACTTACAAGGACACTCCTGATGAACTCTTGGTCTTACCTGGAGTGGGGACATCTCCGGGATTGGACCCCTTTCTGTGGGATCTGGAAGTTAGGG